AGTTTGTTTTGTTAAACAAATTTCTATCTATGTTCGTACTTTTTTCTTCTATTATCTTTATCCAGTTTTAGGATGAGCACAATGTTGATTTCCTAAATGGAGGGGAGAAGTGTTCCTTCTTTTTTCTCCTTTAAATGTTTGATATAATTTATCGGTTAAAATGTGTATGAGCCTGTTGTTGTCATATAGGTAGGTTTTCAAGCTAGGAATATATTTTCTTTAATAGGTGCTATTCAAATTTTATATTTCTTCCAGAGTTAGTTTCATTAATTTGTCTTCCAAGGTATTTCTTAGAAGTTGTTGAATTTATTCCAGAAAAGATTTTTGTAATATGCTTTCTATATCCTTTTAAATTCTGCAAAACCTTTGGTAATGTCTCCTAGATCTTGATATTGTAATTTTTAAAATGTATAATTGATATTGTGTAATAGGTAGAAAAGCTCTAAAGGAGCAGGGGAAGTGGGAGGGGTAGGGGAAAGGAAAAAAGGGAAAAGAAAAAATGAGAAAAGGAAAAAAATGGAAACAAAGTCTTTGCAAGTAGGGAAGGGTAGAGGGGGTGAAGCGAGGGCAGGGGAAGGGGAAAAACATAAGAACCAAGATATTCATGTAATGGTACAAGATCCCAATGATGAATGTAACTGTATTTTATATCTAAAATGTACTGATAAACTTAATGGGGAAAAAAACAAATAAAATACATAAATAAATCTAGAAAAAAGAGAATTTTCTCTTGGTTTTTTTTTCTTTCAATATCTTCACTTTGATTATGTGTAGGAGTGGCTCTTTTTGCATTCATCCTATTTGAAGACTGTTGAACTTCCTTGATGTTTAGATTAATTTTCATCAAATTGGGTGAATTTTTAAGCATTATTTCTTTTTCTTACTCCCTCCCTCTCTTCCTTCATTTTTTAAAAGAACCAAAAATGAAACAAAAAGCATCTAGCAATTCAAATATTGTATAAATGAAAGATGCATTTGCATTAAGTCAAAAGGTAAGAAATTTCTACCTGTATTGTCACTGTAGTTCATTTGTTTGGGGTGGGGGGTGGAGATTGAAACATCTTTTAAAAACTGATATGAAAAAGTTACAGGCAAGATTATCTCCTAGAAATTCAAGGTCTCAAAAGACTATCTTCAACTAGCAAAACTGAGAGCATAAAAAATTACTGATTACAGAAAAAAATATTCAAAGTTTCTTATACATATTTTTTAGCAAATCCAAATCTTCTGAGGAGACACAGAAAAAAAATTGCTTGGAATACAATCTGAGGCCATCCACAGTTAGAGAAGAAAGTTTGAAAATTAGTATATTATTTTTCATCAAATTTCAGGGTCCTCCAATAAACAACAGAGCAACATCTGGATCTCTGTAAATCAATAGAATCCCTTGAAGACTCATTTGATACTTGTCTCACATCATTACATGGCAAAATTGAAACAACATTTTACTCATTAAGAAATAAGTCCAGGGCCGGGGATTTAGCTCAGTGGTTCTGCCACCTGGCTTGCAAGCGCAAGGATCTGAGTTTGATCCCAGGTACCAATAAATAAATAAATAAATAAATAAATAAATAAATAAAATCCAAGAAATAAGTCCAAAGCCACGTGAGTAAATTTCATTCTCTTCAAGGATGGAGTGAATGGCAGAGGAGAAACAATCCCAGCAGATCTCCTTAATTAATATAAAATTGTTATGAAAATCATAATAGATCCAATTTTATTGAATTAGTTTACAAATGTCATCCAGTAATAAGCTAAACACTTGTGACATCCTAGAGAACACACTAAGGTAAAATGCAAAACCCAACGAGATCACTGTGTTGAATAAAGTAATAATTACAGTGGAGGTAGCTGGGTAGAATTTTGCAGTTTAGCAATTATTTCTTTGAATACTTTCATGTTCATTTTCTCTTTCTTCTGTTACTCTTGACAAGTAGATTTGGTGCATTTAACGATGTCTGGCATTCCTCTGTGGTTCCCCCCACCCACCCATTCTTTTTTGTTTCTCAGATTACATATTCTCAATTAATTTTCAAGTTACCCAGTCTTTTGTTCTGTCAGCTGAAAACTACTGTTGTGTCTCTCTAGTGGAGTCTTCATTTTGGTTCTTGAACTAATCAGCTTTAGAATTTCTATTTGTTTCTTTTTGTAATTAAAAAAAATTCTCTATTTGATGAATCACTCAGTATACCTTCAATTCTTTCTATAGAGTAAGTCCCCATCTTACAAATGTTCAAATTGTGAACTTTCACAGGTATGAATGGACCTCCCATTTGGGTTTTCTATGCTTTACATTGTATATCTGTCAAAGGTGTATACAATTCACTTTGTCAGACTTACAAATGAATCTGACTTACATTCTCCCAGATCGTAACTTGTTTGTAGAGGACTCAGTGTACTAACTTTATATTCACTAAGTTATTATTATTTCATTTTGTACTTTTTGTGTGTGGTGGTACTGGGAATTGAACCTAGGGCCTTACATTGAACTGCATCCCCAGTCCTATTTATTTATTTATTTATTTTGAGAGAAGATCTTGCTAAGTCACTGAGCTGCCTAGGCTGGGCTTGAACTTGGAATTGTCCTGCCTGAGCAGGACATGTACCAGCACGCCTGGCTTAGAAAATAGTTTTAATTTTTCTTTAGTTCTTTGAGCCAGGAGTGATTCACAAAAGTACTGTTTAATCTTCAAGTATTTGGAGATTTTTTATCTGTTAGTGGTTTGCTACTTCATTGTTAGGCACGTGTACATTAAAAATTATGCCTTTGTAGAAAGGACCCCTTATCATTATATAATAGCCCTCTGTTTTGTCTGATATTAATAGTGACCTCAGCTTTCATTAGTGCTAGCATGGCATATCTACTTTTCTCCCTCTTCCCCCTTTCTCTTTTTTCCTCAGTCATATCCACTTTGTTGATGATCCAATAAAAAAATTCATTTGTGTATGTTTAGAATTTTACTTTCTTTCTTCTATTTTTCTGCCTTTATTATCCATCTGTTCTTGTTACATACATTCCCCATTAGAGTTCCTATCACATTAATCAATTATTTTATATTCCCAAGCTGATAATTCCAACACTTAGTAGCTGAGTCTAGTTCTGATGCTTATCTTGTCTCTTCAAACTATCTTTCTTCTTCCTTTTTTGTTGAATCTTGGACATGATATACTGGACAAAAAGAACCCCCATGAAGAGGCCTCTACTGATGTGGTAACAGGAGTAAGGAGCATTCAATAGGCCTATGATTAGGCCTTTAGTGAAAGTAGCCCCTTGGACTTTTACCTTCACAATTACTTCTTGGTCATTCTCCCAGTCCCTCATCCCCCACTAGGTAAAACAGGTAACTGTGATTCTGTGCTTAGGTCTCCAGTTTTCATGCTGGTGGTTCTTCCTGTGACCTCAATTCTCACATGGACTAAAGAAGAGTTTGTTTTGAGTTTTTTCAATTTATTAGGAGTTAAAACTTGAAGATTCTCACATGTCAAAAAGGAAACCAGAAGTTTTTTGTGCTGCTGCTTTTGAAGAAACTGATGATTTTCCAAGGTGGCTTTCTTATTTAACATGATGCCACCAATGCATGAGAGATTTGGTTTCTCCACATCTTGGTCAGCATTTGGTACTCCCACTATTTTTCAATTTTAGTGTGTGTATACACGTGTGTGCACGCGCGTGGTAATGAAAACTGAACCCAGGGTGTCTCACGTGTCAGGCCAGTGTTCCACCACTGAACTACATCCCCAGATTTTTTTGAGATAGGTTCTCCATGCTGGCCACAAACTTGCAGTTCTCCTGTTTCATTCTCCTGAGAACCTGGGATTACGGGTGTGCACCACCATACCCTGCTTATTTTAGCTGTTCTAAGAGGTACTTAGCAATATTTCAATGTAGTCTAAATGAACATTTCCCTAATGGCTAGTCATAGCAAATGCTTTTCGTGTGCTTATTTGCCATCCATATACCCTTTTATTGAAGTATCTCTGTTTCTTGCCCATTTTATTATGGAGTTTTGAAGACTGTTATTGGAATTCTGTATGTATTCTAGACATAAATCTTTTGCCAGATGTGTTATTTACCAATACCTTCCTTCAGTCTGTACATCTGTCATCAATTTAACAGTCTTTAAGGAGTAACAGTTTGTGATTTTGATAAGGTCAGTTTGATAATGTTTTCTTTTATGAACATTTTTGCAAGAAATATTTAGTATGAACTATTTACCAGGTTTAGAAGATTTTTTCCTAAAAGATTTTTACATTTAAATAAGTGATCCACTTTTGAATTACTTTATTGTAGCAGTGAGATTTGGGTGAATCAATCTCTCTGTCTCTCTCTCTCTCTCTCTCTCTCTCTCTCTCTCTCTCTCTCCAACAAACCCTATTACTCTTCCAGATAATTAAGTCTTATAAATCACCTCTATTGCAAATTATCACTACAAGATAACCAGTTTACTCTACTCTTTACAACAGTAACTTGCTGATAAGAATAAAAATTTTTCACAGGGGTAAAAGTGGTCCAGATTTATGACTTTTTGGCAATTGTAGTGGGACTAGTTGAGACTTTAGGCATTTAGAATTAAGCATAAAAATACCAGAAGGTAGAGGGTCAAGGCTGTCCAGAACAGTGAAAAGGAGAAAATGCATAAGAAAAACAGGAACATTCTTATCCTCTTACTAGGGATTGGGTTATAACAAACCTAAAATTAAAAACCAAAACCAACCAACCAAATAAAAAGCTAGGATAATTTTGTATACAAATTATGCTAAGGCATAAAGCATACCTTAAATAAGCTTTTTCCAAATAGCAGTTATCTCTGAATTACCTTAACAATTTGCTGTGTTCTGCTTACAATCATGTACTACTACATTATTTTTGTCTTAATGTTAATTTCTTTAAAATTTTTTGTTTAGCTGGGAATGTTATTTCCTTAACATTGATAATATGTTTAAACATGTCATCAACACACTCATCAGATGGTGCTTTAGAGACTGATTAGCCTACTATGATATATTGCAAATAATACTAAGAGTGTTACCAGATGGTGATCAAGATTACTTTCCTATGTAAGTTTAGCATGAAATCACTGCTCAGTTTTACTGTGAGAATTTGAACCTAAGCCTACTATTTTCATTATAAATCTGAATGAAGTATAAAATGTTGCAGTAGTGGCTGGTAGAAATGAGTGCCCAGCTGGAGAGTGGGATATGTGACATACTTTGATAGCAGTACTCACATTTTTGTTGAAATGTGTTTTTATGTTGTCAATACCGTTACTTTGATTTGTAAGTGGACTAGCTGAGAAATACAAAGACCTGTACTTGACTTTTTAAAAATCAAGTTTATCTTCTATCAAATTACTCATAGCCAAGTTTCCACAGACCTAGAATTTTAAATCAGTGATCCAGTGTGACCCATTGATAACATTTCTTAAAAAGAATGAGCACAGTCACGTAGTCTTAGTCTTAAGGATTTCTGGATTTCGTCCTTGAAGGAGATCAGGATCTTCCCAAGGCCTTGGGCCACGAATATTCTTCCAGTCTTCAAAAGTAGAGTCCTTTATTTTCTATAGGACCACAAAAGTTAAAGTGTTCAAGTTAGTGTAGGAGCCTGTGGCTTTGATTAGGAAATCACTGAATGAATGCATAGAAAGCATCCAACAGGCCCTCAATTAGAATTTCAACACACATGTATACTATAAACCAAACACAATAACTGAAAAGAAGTTGTACTTCTTAGAATTTAAAACTTTTCATGGTTGCTACTGATGTTAATGCCGATCTTTCCCCCACAGTAATAAAACTACTAACACAGGAAAAGTGTCTACATGCTTTATATATTGAGAGTGCAGAGTAAGGTAAGAAGCTGGGAGGAAAAAAAGTGTGACTCCAAAGGCTGATCCAGAATAATTACTATAAAGGTTAGCATGAGTGATGGAAGAAAATGAGAAGCAAAGAACAAAGGTAGAGACCTAAAGTCTTCTACAAGGAACAGACCAATATGATTTATCTTGTGTCTGAGAAATAAGCCTGTGGTTAAGAATAAAAAAGACTTTCCCTACAGTTAACATGAGCAATACCCTTTTGAGCAGTCAAAACTCGTTTCAGCTGCAATTCTGATTATTCTACTTTCACTTAGTATGAAGAGTCTCTCAAGCACAGGAAGGCAGGATCAAAGGGAAGAACAAAAATGTTTCTTCTCCCTTGCAATGACCATCACTCTGAAAGTTACTTTTATACATTTGCTGCTTTGATTTTTCTGGAATAATTAAGTAAAACAGAAAAAAAAAAAAAAGAGGCTGACAGAATACAGGTAATTTATATCCAAAGATATAAATGGGGGAAAATGGCCTAAGTTCACCTTGACATTTGGGTACTAAGCATTATGGTTTTACTAATTAGCTGTAAAACCTTTAGCATTTATTTAAGCCACCCAGGCATTAATTCTTTGATAAGTAATCATGAAAAGACAGGGATAAATGTTTGATATGGTTTCCTCAGTTCTCAAATTCCATGGTTTCTGTAAGAACTAAAAGGAAAATCTCCCAAATAAATCTTTCATAACATCATCACTGGTATAGTGCTTACATGTCCTCAAGTAGCCAAATAGGGAAGTAGTGAATAAAAACACACGAAGAAAAAAACATGAAGAGACTGAATTGAATATATGTAAAGGAACAAAATTTTATTAATTTAGCATGGAAGAAGGTAAAGTATTTTTACATGTTGTTATGAAATGATCTAAAGATATGAAAAGATTTTAATAGAGTAGTGGCCAATAACCAAATAAAATAAGACATGCATGCTAAAGAGGATTAAAATCAATCTTAGATGACAGGCAAGATTGATAGAACGAGGTGATATATAAATGTCTGATATTAGAGATTCTTACGATTTACATCTAAAATGTCCCCCAAAATTCTGTGTGTGGAAGGTTTACATCTAAAATGTCCCCTTTCCATCATGGAGGTGCTGTACTATCAGTTGATTCATGCACTGATAGGTTCAGTAGCTGAATGTACTGTTAGAAGCTGGGGCCCGGTTGGAGGGCGGAGTCACTGGTGGCCATGACCTGGAAGGGTGCGTTCTTATCCCTGGCTCCTCTCTTCTTTCTCTGCTGCTTGGCTGCCATGAGATAAGTAACTTTCCTCTGCCCAGGCCCTTCTACCAAGCTTTTGCTGCCTTGGAGCTAGTAGATCATGGACTGAAACTGTGAGCCAATATAAACCTGTCTTCTTGTAAGTAGTGGGTGTTGGGTATCGGACGGAAAAGTGATTAAGGTGATTTTTGGACAAAAGGTTCTTTGTAGAAATGCTACAAAAGATAGTGACTGAATCACAGATTGTACACGCATGCAGGGGAAGACATTCAAGACCTACCAATTACTAGCCAACTGCCATAGGAATGAGAGTGGAACAGATTCAAGAAATGTTGAGGAAAAACAGTGTCAGGAAAATTGGATTTTGAGCCCTACCAGAACAGAGACTTCTCCTTAATACTAGCCAAGACATCTAAAAAAAGCTTCTCTTTATGAGTAAGGATTATGTTGAGAAGAGTGCCTACTTCTCCAACAAAATTTAAAAGCAAGCCCTGCCAAGATCCTCTGGGGAGATGGTTTGAAGAATGAGTCCAACATCAAGTTACAGCGATCTAAGAAACAGCACAGCCTTTCCATGGTTCTCCCTTTCAAAGCACAACACCAACTTCAAAGTGATCGGCCAATAACTTAACTGTCAGGTAAAATGAAAATCAGTACTTTTCAGAAATCTCTTCAATGTATTACTCACGTCCAACTTTCAATGAAAAATGACCACACACAAGGAAACAGGAAAATGGGATTCAGTCAAAAAATGAATACAAACCCGAGTTTAATCCCCAGTACCAAAAAAAAAAAAGAAATGAATAAAATATAAATGGAGAACATATTTCCCTCCCCACATCCTGTAATACAATGTGCTATGAAGCTTTTCGATTTCTGCTAATCAGACTAGTGGAAAATACCTCATTATAACTCTGACATTCTTATTTTGATAAGTGGAGCACTTCTTTGTATGTTTCAGAATACTTATTTCTTTTCCTCTAAACTCTTTATAAATTTTACCCACATTCTTACTGACCAACTGATTTGTTGAACTTTTCCATACTGACTTGTAGATGTTCTTCACGTTTAACTAATTAGCCATGATAAGATAGATAACATTTTTAGAATCCCTCATTTAACTTGTGACTTAACATAGTATCTTCTAGGCTGAACTTTCAGATTTTTAATGTATAAACTCATACATCTTCACGTTTACAGCTTCTGGATTTTAGATCCTATTTAAATAGGCTTTCCTGACTTAAAATCTGCATTTTCTTTCTCCTAGTACACTTAGTGTTTTGCTTAATTTTAGATTCTTGATCCATGTGGAATTTATTTATTCATGGTATATGGAATATGAATCTATCTTCATTTTCTTTTCAAATGACTATATACAGGTTAACCATCCCTAAACCCAGAATCTGAAATCTGAACCTTCTTGGGTGCTGATATGATGCTCCAAAAATTCAGAGTTGGGCCTGGAGGTGTAGCTCAGAGGTAGAACAATACCTAGCATGTGTGAGGCCATGGGTTCGATCCTCAGCATCACAAAAACAAAACAACAAAAAGAAGAAAATTTCAGATTTGAGAGCACTTTAGATTTTCAGATTAGGGATGCTTAACTGGTAAAGTCTATCTGAAAACCTCCAAAATGTGAAACACTTCTCATACCAAGCATTTCAGATAAGAGATATTTAATCTGTAGTTTATAAAATACCACATATTTAAAATAATTTTCTGCAACACTAATTTATCTTAAGGCAGACAAAGCAGTCACGACCAGTAAGACTGTTATAAAACATAGCTATTAACATGATCATACCTCATATTCTGACTCTAAAGATATTTTATTCATTTTCAGCTTTTTTTCCAATTCAGGATCAATCTGCAGAAAAGAAAGAGGAATCTGTAAGTTACTTAAATTTCTTACATTCAATTTTCTACTTTAGAAGTTATACAACAGATGGCTGGGACAGTATGGCCAATTTAAAACACATGGCAAATGTTACGGCTTCTATCTAGATGTCCTCCCAAAACCTCATGTACTCATAGGTGGGATTTTTGGGAGGGACTGGATCATGGGTGTGTGATACTGGATTAATTCACTGATTGGTAAAGCATAGTTCTAGGCGTGGATGATGAACTTACTGAAGAGGGAAGACCCACCCTGGGTATAGGTGGCACCAACCAATAACCTTGTAGCCTGGATGGAATAAAAAGGGAAAGAAAAAATGCTTGTGCCTTCTGCCTGCCACACCATGAACTGTTTCTCCTCTGTTACGCCCCTCTTCCATGCTGCCCTGCCTTGGAATCAGACAACTATGGACTGAAACTTCTACAAACTGTGAGCTAAAACAAACCTTTTCTCCTTTCACTTGTTGGTGTTGGATATTTTGTCCCAGCAAAGAGAAAGTAACTAAGAAAGATTTTGATATCAGGATTGGGGTCGCTGTTGTGAAGCTACCTGGCTATGTAGTTCAGGAGCCTTTAGAACTGGCTTGTGTGAGAAGTCTGGCAAGTTTTAGAGATGTTGGCTAGAAAAGCAGCCCTACAATGCTGTAAGTTCCCAAGCTTGATGGGAGATTCTGGTCAGACCTCTGAAGACCAGATGTTGACAGTAATGCAGATGGAAAAGACCAGGCTCAAGAGGTTTCAGTTGGGAAGAAGGACTCTCCTGGCAGCTGCACTCCGGGATGTCATGCTTTGGCAGAAAATATGTCTACATTTTCCGCATGTCCGGAGACACTGCAGGAGACTGAGATTAAGGACAATGGGCTAATGAATCTGGTGGAAGAAATTCCAAGGCAGTCTGATGTTGAGGCTACTGTTGGGGGCTTTTACCTAGCTGTACCTTGAGATTCAAGAGTGAACAGCTCAGCAGAATGATTTAAAAATTTTGAGTTTGGCCAGAAAGGAAGTTCCAGTAAAGTTATGGCCTGTAAAGATGAAGCAGAGGAGAACTTGGTTGCGGAAAAGATTATCACTAAAAGGCAAAGTACTTCAGAACAGGCCACTGGAAAAGATGGCCTGAGGTACCATAAGAACCAACAGTATTCTACCCTTTGCAGCCTCAACACTGGAAAGGTGAAAGACTGCACCTACAAGAGAGCCCCAGGCCACCTGTTTTGGAATGGTGGTGGCCTGAGGAATTCATTCCTCAGGATTGGGTTCATAGCACTCAGCAATCCAGGCACTTGGCCCCTACAGCCAAGAGAGGAGGAAGGCTGGTTACTGCTCCAGTTGGCAGCAGACCTGGGCTTCATCCCAGGTACATGCAGAATACCAGAGTATTCAGGAAGGCGTCTACACAGATTTCGGAAGAAGGCCTGGGAGGCCAGGCAGTGTGCCCTCGAGACGGCAGTGTGTGAAGCTGTGAGTGTGAAGCCAAAGTACAGTGGAGAGAGACCTCAGAAGGTTGGAGAAAGCAGGAATGTGGATCATCTGAGAAAAGATGCAAGAATTGAGCAAAGCAGGCTGAACAGAGAGACCATGAGGGCTATGACCACCGTGTTGTTGGTGTGGAGCCACACAACCCTTTGGAAATCATATCTTTCCATAGATTGCCCTAGGTGCTGGGCAAGGATTGCTGAGACTTAGTGTTTGCCCTGCTCTGGTCCCATCCCTTTCTGTTCCCTTATTTCTACCTTTTGGAATGGGAATGTTTATCTTGTGCCATTGTATGTTGGAAATGTTTAACTTTCTTTTCATTTTTACTGGGCCTGACAGCTAAGAGTTTTCCTTAAATCTGAGAGGAGAATTTGGACTTGGACTTTCCAGCAGTGCTGAAACTCTCAGAACACTGGCAACTCTTAGAGATGGACTAAATGCATTTTGCATAAGGGATCCACATGAGTCTTTTGGGGGACCAAGGGTCAAATGTTATGGCTTAGGGCTGGGGATTTAGCTCAGTGGTGCCACGCCTGTCTCGTAAGCGCAAGATCCCGAATTTGATCCCCAGTACCAAAAAAAAAAAAGTTATGGCTTATACTTAGATGCCCCCCTCAAAGCCTCATGCACCCATAGGTGGGGCTTATGGGAGTGAATGGATCATGGGTGCGATACTGGATGAGTCCACAGATTGGGTTAGCATAGCTAGGTTTTTAAGATCATGATACTCAATGGATTTACCATTTTTATTCTGTAATTATTTTTGTTATAAAAATTATTTTTCCATAGAACTTTTTATATTTTCTTTATTAATATCTACTTGTATTACATTAAGTAAAATAAAAAAGTAAATATACACTTCAGTAGTAAAGAAATATAGTAACAAATTCAAAAGATGGCTTTCATAATAGACTGGACATACCAAAAGACAGGTTTAATAACTAGGAGATAAAAATAATGGAAAATATACAAATTAAAACACAAAGACAAAGAATGGAAGAAAATAGAAAAATAAAAAGTAAAGTGTTAAACTTAATTAAAAATAATTATATCTGAATGAAGTCCCATAGAAGTAGAGAGAAAACTGGGCAAAAGCAATACTTTATAGGACATGAATAATTTTTTTTAATGTTACCTATTATTTCTTTAAAACTCTTCAAGACAATGTGAAAAGAAGACAATGTGAAACTCCATTTCTTATAAATCAGAGTACCTAGAGTTATGATAAATATTTCTTGTTGCCATGATTTAATCATTTGATATACAAGCATAATTCTTGGTAAGACTTAACCAAATCAGCTATATATATAAGGTAGAGAGTCAGAACATTTGGTATCAGACTTTCTTCTTTTATTTACCCACTGGGGAATTTTTAAAATGTATCTCTGCATTTGAAAAATGTAATTTTATTCAATTTTATAGTGCACGAATTAACAGCATCTTCTATTATAGATTAAGTATTGGTGTTTGGGCAGGGGAGATGAATAAACTTACGATTTGGAAGTACTGCCTGTCATCCTACACATTCACAGTCTTCATGTGTGTTTTCACATCCCTCTCTCCAAAGGTCTCATTTTTTCTTTTTTTTGCATATTGTGCAGCATGCTCTGTTTTGCTTATTTAACTCCCTAATCCAGTTGTATGTGTTCTTTCCATCTCCCATTAAAATAACAGGGTTACTCGGCTTTCTTCTTCATTGATATAGACATCACACTGGCATTGGTATAATTGTCCTCATTTTCATTATTGAATCTTAGAAAATATGGTCACAATATTTGTCACATTAAAAATTAAACAGCATTACCATGTTACAAAGCATAATAAGCAAAGTCAAAGACTATAACTGTTCAAAAGTGCAATATACTTAAATTGCACTTAAATGAAATCAATTGGTGTGATACAATAATGAATAATCCATGATTGTAGATGCATGGTTGCTAGCATGATCATCCAAGAGAAAAAACAGCAAATGCCCCCCAGGGGTGGGAGATAAACCATGTCTGTCAGGCTACTAGAGATTGTTTTATGGGAGAAAGCCTACAATATTGCACATTTTTGAGTGAATAGAGGAAACATTACTAAATCCTTTACATGATTCACTTCCATGTGAATATTAATCTATTTTAAAGAATAAGAGAGCAAAAACTGTATATTAATCTTGAAAAGCAAGACAAACTCAGACTAAGAATACTAAACAAAAACATACATATACAGACATAAGTCAAATTCCAACTATGGTTCTTACTTTAATCTTCACAGCATCATAACGGATTTGTGAGAACTCACGCAGACCAAAAGAACCTCCAACAATCAGTAGCTGAAAGAAAAAACAGTTAAAATAGAAGGGCAGAATGTGATAATGGCTGTGCAATGGAGAATATACTAAAAACAAGGAAATGAACATTTTTGGTGTTTTTTTTTTTCTTTGGTGTATAGGAACAAACAGGTCACCAGTCATATCAGAAATGTAAATTCTGGGGGTTAAACAGGCAAATATATATTTTTAAATGGTTTGGAAGAGAGGGAAGAAGAATATTATTAGCGTATATCTGATAATTCAAGTCCCACTCTGCATATTGTTGAATAAAGATTTCTAGGAAGTATTAACTACTAAATAAAAAGAAAATACAGTAGTATCAACTTCAATATAAATACAGTATAGTAGCAATGGCATATTTGACTGACACACGACCAAGAGGATGTGTCCCTTAAATTCATTCTAATGATACTATCAGACTCTTGAATACAGCATTTTGCAGGGCAAAATTGTCTACATGTGTGGGGCCAATACTCAGAAACACAGCCCCTAGGTCCAGTATAGTTACACAGAACAGTCTACAGTAGCATACTTGGGAAGAAGCACTGAGGTACTTCAATGTATACTAATTTTAAGACCTTTGCTTTGGTAATTTTGAAAGGTGAAGAAAACAAACTGATTTCCATAGGGACATGCTGGGAATCACAAGTCAGTGACCACAACCACATTGTTTCTAGGTGGTAGACTAATCTGCAGAGAATAGTTTTTACACACGTCCTATCCTCTACATAAATAGTTCCTGTTATTTTATAAAGACAGTTACCCTCAAACTCTTTAAAAATATATTTGTAGTTTTCTAGAGATGGGAAAAATCTGGATTCATCCAAGATGAGTTGAAAAAATTAGGTTTCTAGGATCACCTTTATCCATTTAATCCTCCTTAAATGCAAAAGCTGGTACCTTCACCTGTGCCAGTACCTGTACCAAAGTAATAAACGTCTGTGTATTTTTTAAAGCTGCTTTTGTTTATATGCTTGACTTAAATTATTTCATTTATCATGACACGGAGGCTGAAGCAAAATAATTAGTCCATGATCACACAGCAACTAAAGGTAGTTGTCGGATTCCAACTCGGGATGGCCTTATGTCAGCCTCAACTTGTATTCTCATGACATCTTTCGGGAATTCAGTGTAAAATTCTGTGCAGCCATATAAACACCAAAGCTATTTTAAAAATCGCTTTAGAAATATAAATAGTAACACAGCAACCTCTTGAGGGCGCCACAGTACGGCTGGTACCGTGCTAAACACTTTATTCCTAAAGTCTTACTTGTTTCATCACAAAAACCTGTAAACAAACTTCGTAATCACCTAGACTGGGGTTAACTCTGGTTTCTTTGAGATTCAATTTACTCAGCTGTGAAACGGGGGATAGTAACAACAATCGTGTTCTTGATGGGAAAGCTGTCACATAGGTCCTGGTAATTAACGGGAAAAGATGGGGGTGGGGGGCGCCGAGATCCTGCTACTACGCAGAAGACTAGAAGAAAGATTGTTTACAGTTCTCAATCTTTTGTCAGCTTCTTCCTAGTTTAGATCCTATCTTCGGCTTCTCCTATTACAGACTTCCCCAAAGTCCTGATGCTGCAAACCAGGAGGCTCCACTTTCCTCTCACAGCACTCACCAACATGGGGACTCCGTAGCGAAGGGTCTTGTTCTTGCTCAAAGCTCGCATCACCGCGGGTGTGAACATAACTGCAACTTTGGCCCGTTTAGGGTCCCTTCCAAGCCGACCCAGGGCGTCCTCCTAAAATTCAGCAGCTTTTCCTCACTCACCTGCTTTTCCGGGTTGTTTGGGGTCGAGTCCTCCGCTGATAAAGCTCCGCCAGGCAGAAACAATCAATTCATGGTTACACACTCCCGTGCCCGCCCAGAAGTTGAGGCAACATATCTTTAGTTCCGGGATGCCAGCGTGCAGCTAGAATTTAGAGGTTAGAATCCGGTTTGCTGTCACTATCGAATTGTTACGGAAGCCAGTATCTGGCGTGTTCTGAGTCTTGACTACGTTTTCTTAGAACATTCCCTGCCACATGGTTATGCAGTAAACTCGGCGGGGCGGGGGCGGGGACAGGGCGTATTCTGAAGCTAACTCTCAGCCTCTGTGCATGCTTGTGGGTTGGGAAAATTTACCAGCTTAATAAAAAGTTTTAAGAGTAAATCGCTAGAAGGTTTAGATTCAATGTAACCAGTGCAGTGTCTCGTCACTGAACCTTTAATGCTAACGTGTTTACTGTGTGATAGGCTGTGATCTTGTCATTTATAAGTCTATTTTACACAGGTTCAACAATCATACTTTTTTGCAACCATCTTTCTGGAAGACTCTAGAGACAGAGATGAAGATATCTTTGCCTTAAACAAAATGGCGATCTAAAGGGCACAACAAAGCATGTCCGAAAGTACTGTGATAGCTTAGGGAACTAAGTCCCCACGGGTGCCTTTCGTCAGAATGAATCAGAAAGCTACACCTAGGGCGCAGGTGATACAGAATAATGCCTCCTACTCTATCCCTGAAATCTTCCCATCTGTTCCTACATCTCCCATGCCATTGAAATGTTCCTGGTTATCACCTCTGCACCTGTTAAAGTGGCCCCTTTAGTGGTCTCTAGAGGAGAAACTCCAGATCTACTTTTTAGGCTTCTCCAGTGGTACCCCTGCCTATAAGACCATAGGGTCAAATTTTAAAACAAAGCAACAGCAAAAACCACCGATTCTGGTCAATCCACACTGTTGGAAGACATAATGATGAGATTCCCTGATTCTGCTTACAGTATTCACTCTTTTCTTAGCAAAATTTAAGATTAAGACTTCAGCGGAGCTCCAGTGGCATAATCAACTTGTATTTATACAAGTGTGGCCTTTTTGCCACTCTTCACTCCTACTCCATCCTGGAAAAGATACTCTTCCTTGAGTATTCCATGAACTTCATCTTCATTACGCAGCTCCTGGGAAATTACTCTGTGTAGCCCCTCTAATTGTACAGTCAAATATAAATTATTGCCTCCTCAGAGCTCTGGCTGCCTCTGATATGACACAATATTGCCACACTGGATTATTTAGTACACTGAGTCATTATCACTCTGACTAGCATATAAGGAACATGAAAATAGGAGAATGGGAAGAATATATCAGAGTTTGAATTTGAAAACTGGGAGGGAGAAAGGCCACCTGAATTGATCCAAGGGAGACTTTGAAGTATCAGGCCAAGATTTATTAACATAAGACAATTTGCTAATCCCTTCCCTCACCTCCTGTTTCTTCACTTAACTTGGAAGAGAGAACTTGCAAATGTGAGGACTGTAGCAGAACGGTGGGAGGTCAGAACCCAAAAGAAACTGAAATTCCTACAGAATTTGGTAATATTGACTATCTCCTTACAATTCACTCCCTGTATGGCTTCCATGGATCCACTCCAGCTCAAACTTTTGTTGTCTTTAGGCTTGCAAACCTTAAATTGGAGTCTTCAGTCCTCTGTGCCTCAGAATCTCCCGCAGAACTATTAAAACAGACCACTGGGCCCTGTGATTGGAGTTTGATTCAGTAGGTCAGATTGGGATTGAAAAACCTGCTTTTGTAACACACTTCAGGATGATGTTGATCTGCTGGTCTGTGAACTTCCTTGGATAAACTCCACTTTCACTTGGTCATCAAATTTTATCACAGTGTGGATATTTTCAGAAATGTGAAGCACAGACTGAATGGTTTTCTAACCTCTCAAGATCAAAATCCAAAATGTTTTACTTTGGCAGTTCTCTCCATTCAATCTAATTTGTATGGCTAAAATCAGAGCAGCTGAGTGCCTGTTTCTAGTTCAGCCCAATTTGAAACCAGTAGTACTTCCCATTATTCAGCTAGACAATCAACTGTTTCTTCTGTGCATATTTCTTTTGATAGTGATTATGAATATTGTTTTAGAATATAGTCATGTATTGTCCTATTATTTTTTATGGGTTATAAGACAGTGGTGGTGAACCCATGGCATGCATGCCACAGTGGGCTGTTTGTATTACTGAAAGCTCTAAAAGGTTTGCCATCACTGCTATAGGATAAATGGATTTTTCCTTGGCTTGAAGTAAATTCCCACTTCTGGCACTGACTAGCTATGTCTTGAGCAAGTCACTAATTTCTTTAACCATCAAGTTAACTCATCTATAAAAATGGAAATATTGGTACTTCCTTGTATAGTTGTAAGAATTTGACCTTGGTTATACAAAAGGGCAGCCCAATGCAGAATATTTAATCATGAAGAATAGATAGATAAAGTAGTGTTCTGGTTATGTATGCAAGTCCTAAAGGCACACTGCCTAGGTTTACATCCCAGTTCTAGAAATCAATAGCTGTATGACCTGGGCAAGTTAACCACTCTATGCATACCTCATCTGTAAAATGGGCCCAACAGCAGTTATCTTAGAATTGTTGTGAAGCTTAAATGAATAGATGTGAAGGGCTTAGAATAACTGGACTGCTGATAAAAGCTTAGTAATTGAAAATTTTCTGTATTATTAGGAGTACGTCACTGTCCTATCCCTTATCTCCTTTGTCAAAGTTAAATTTCAAATTGATTATTTAGATTTCATCTTTCCATTGTTCTGTCAGGTGCTACTTAAAGAAGGTGGCAGAAAAACAAGATATTTAATCAACAGTCTCCAAAAGAAGGTGAAAAAGCATTATAAAAATTCAGTGATAAATTCAACAAAGTTTTACTGAATGCCATAGTTCACAAGGCACAGTTAGATCCATTATTATCTCATTTGCTGTATCTGGTCAAATGGCAAAATTTCAGTTTATCATACCTTTTGATAGCCCATTAACATATTTAATCTGTAGTGATATTTCCTAAATAATATGGTTTTATGTCCACATGTTTTCCAAGGTGCCGTTGGGCACCGATTTGATCTGAGAAATGGACTACTGTTTATGTCCAGGGATGTAACCTAACATGAGAATCAGGATGAAAGGAAACAAAACAAGTTCATATGGAAAATATTCTTATAAGAACTAACACAGACTGAAGGTAAAACACACATGTCGGTAAGAAGAAACTCATTCAAATGAGCATTGTAGATACAGCATTACAATGGGATTCACTTTTGTGTCTTCATTTGCAACTCTCCAAACTAGGAAGAAGGATCATCTCAATTTCCTGGGATTAGTTAATAAATTTACAAAGTTTATTTTGGTAAATGATTCTGTTGGTTCATAGCTAAATCAAATTTGAAAACCTATTTCAGCCTTCTTCCCCCCTTGAAAAATAGAGAGAATATTAACAGTGAGGTTTTGTAACAGGCTATATTGTATTAGCTATAAGCTGATTTCTTAGAAGCGGCAATGCCATGTTATAATATAGGTTTTCATCAACTGCATCAGATAAATAGATCACATGGTTTGTAGTCTACAAATAAATGTGAGAGAATATAGCAGTTAAGAATCTGGTTCCAATGAGAACAGAATTCCTTAAAATACTGTCTTCCTTTAGATCAGAATTGATCTTTTGGATGTGAGTGCTGGTCTCAAAACAATTTGGGTTAAATGAGGAATAGAAAAAGGGGTTTATCCTGGGAAAGCAGCCAAGTCTAAACTTATTGTGAGAGGTAGAGAGCTTCAGAATTCAAGGGTCTGCTTCTAGGTGATGCTAGAAAAATACACTTTAGCATCAAGATTCTCCACTTATATGTGCTGAGCAATTTCAGCTTAGAGTAATTATATTTTATTCATCTTTCTATTTTCAGAACCTAGCACATGGCTGGCACTCACGCTGAAGGGAAAAAGTTCTCATCTGTCCAAAGAAAAATTTTTATTCAAAGTAGCTAGAATAAAATATTTATTGGCTTTACAGAAATTACATGGATTCTACTTCCCCACATTCTTGACAATCTATAGTTTCTTGCTTTGGTTCTATATATACATATATAT